ACTTCGTAGCGTTGCTCTTTCTCGGTGCCTGCCGCCACCACAATCGTGTCTGTCGTGTTGCTGAAGAACATGAGTTTGTCGCAGCGCTGGCCCCAGGTCTCGGCTACGGACTGCGCGCGGGTCTTGTGGTGCACTGAAATGGTGTTCACGAAGCAGAAGATCTTAGGATAAACGGAGTTTTCGTGTAAGTTCTGCGGTGGCGGACGCTCCGGCGTGACTTTGACCAGATCCAACGCATAGCGAGAGCGAGCGATGTCGAGGGCGCAGAGATCGGCCTTGGAAAGGCCCGTGACCGGGGGTGGAGGAAGCAACAAGTCCGAGCTTGCGGAGGACGGCGGGATAGTTGCACGGTAGTATCCACAGAAGGTGTCTTCATGAACTGCGTGGGCACCGACCACAACAGCAACACGCTGAGTTCTTTGCCGGCGAAGTGCGCCGTCGCGGTGCCAAGTCAGTGTCAATCGTGAAAAGAATGCCACGAATGACAAGTGCGCTTTACTCCGACGCTACGGAAAATGCAGCAAGTACACTCTGTATATCGTCGGACGCCTGAATTTCGTGTAAAAGGAACCTGCTAGCTGCTGTATTTGTTACTGCTTCTCTGAGACTGGTCCGTATCAATTCAAATTTCGTCCGTATCAAATCAAACTCCCCCATAAGAGCGAACACACGACGTAAGAATATTGAGGCACGCCTTTGCCATTTGGCAGATAGCTGTCTTTCAATCCGTTGGAGCTAATCTTCGATCGGCAGACGAGCCTTAAAACGCTAGTTGTGACTTCGACCATGGTACAGGTGCCATCTTCCTTGTTTTTGCTTTCACTCCCGCCGCTGAGGCGATATCATCAGCTAACAGTCTCGACAACGAATTCTTTGGCCGCGGTCGTCAGACATTGGAGGTATCTTAATATTTAGCGCTTCCAGTAGCTCAAATGTAGCCTAGGACGTATTATCACAGAAGTGCGGACCTGCCCTGGAATGGTCGTATGTGAACGCTACCGTGTCGGAAACGTCCCAGTTCGGGCACTTGAGACCTCGCTTGATTACAACGGGAAGTAAAAACGGTTTAAGTATCCCGGACGGCTTCCAGCTGAAAGCTCACAGATGTAAGCAGTGGATGGTCGCACGCTCTAGTTGTCCGCACTGTACTCGTGCCGTTGCGATTCATTAGTTTGGTATACAATCTGTCGATTGCCTCTCTTTCATCTGTACGTGTCGCCTACGTTGCAACGAGCTCTCGAAAACCGAGTTGCACGGTAGTATCCACAGAAGGTGTCTTCATGAACTGCGTGGGCACCGACCACAACAGCACCACGCTGAGTTCTTTGCCGGCGAAGTGCGCCGTCGCGGTGCCAAGTCAGTGTCAATCGTGAAGAGAATGCCACGAATGACAAGTGCGCCTTACTCCGACGCTACGGAAAATGCAGCAAGTACACTCTGTATATCGTCGGACGCCTGAATTTCGTGTAAAAGGAACCTGCTAGCTGCTGTATTTGTTACTGCTTCTCTGGGACTGGTCCGTATCAATTCAAATTTCGTCCGTATCAAATCAAACTCCCCCATAAGAGCGAACAGATACACGGCGGTAACGTATAGGAAGGTGAATGGCAACAGATCGAGCCGCATGGGCCATGGCAACGGCGTGTACAGCGCCACGGACGTGAGCTCCGGGTCGGCCACGCCCACCTTCACGACCATCGCGATCTAACAATACCGATTATGTGTATGAGCGATTTCTTCACATTAAGTACGAAAGGCAAGTTGTACGTGCCAAACAGCGAGACGCTGTAATCATATAGACACGGCCTCACCATGGAGAGAGCTTCAGTTGTTGCAAGGAATTCGTCAGATCATCGTAGTCTTTATGTTTGTGTTTCGTCAGCTCACACTAGTGCGAGGTCCGTAACCAGATAAACGATCATCACTCGATCCATGCAGCAAATTTACACTATTCCTGTCTAAGTTGATGCGTCTAATTTCCTACAGCGGGGGTGGTGTATTCTTCAGAGAAACAGGTTGTCCTCATACAAGTCAGACATACGCTTGTTTGAAAAGCATCAGCCAGAGAGCCACCGAACCCAGCCTCAATCTACAGAAGTCCTATTCACACAGTCGCGCTCACACCTGCTCTGGATGAGCAGAGCACGACGTCAAACACGTAGAAATTAAAGCGAAGCCTCAGCTGGTAACCCGAAAAAGTTGCAATCGACATGAATTGGTCCGTTTGGTGCAAAATCGTCACTGGCTTACGCGGTCATTGGAGACAGCAATATATGCGAAATACAGCGTCATGGTCTGTTGTGAGCGAAACCTGAAATGAGCTGGTCAAACGATCGTCGGCAACGGCTAGATTATGGAACGGATGGGCTGGCACGACTTACCAGATGATTGGTAGTTAACTCGACACTTCATTTTTAATCTTCAACCAATCCAACAAAAGATCGGGAAATCCCCTACCCACTATGATTATTAAGTCTCGCAATCTAACGGAATATCTCCATGTATTCTTTCCAATCATCATCTCCCCACCCTGGATTATCACCCCCAACCCT